TTCAGACTCGGAGGATTCCATCATGGTGCTAGCGTCCGTTAGTATCGTTTGTTGAATGAAGGCGTTATTGCTTACAAGGCACGGGGAGCCTGGAGCGTTGTCCCCTTAGTCAAAGATCCATTAGGAGTGGGTATAAATCCATCGTGGCGTGTCACATCCTGGACTAGGAAATTTGCGCCGACCAACTGCGGCTTAAGCGAGCCAGACCAAGGTTTAGAAAGAAAAAAGAAGCATAGACACTTATTAAAAGCCGTTAAGCAGACATTTCTGGGATCAAATCGCAAGTTTGATTAGAAAAAACCAGTAAATTCTCATCTGCAAGCTCTCTTTCCCAACATGTCAACTCAAGGATACATGGGAACCGGCGTAAGTACAAGCCAAATCTCAGAGTACAGGCCACCGCCTTTTGATGGATGTACTGTGCCAATAAGCGTCCATCTATTAAGCTCATTCATAGGTTACTTGGAGGGACTCGAAAGGGGGACGGTTTTGAGTCCCCTCAGTCCCCTCAAGTGCATATCAGAAGTCACACTAACAAAATACAAAGAGTTTTCCTACATAGTAAGTAAGCTAGAACAATCAATTGACTTACTATGTAGATTACACTGCCCATCAAACTAAAATACACTGTGAAGAGCCCTATAGCAACCTGATTCTTTGAAATTTGGCCCCTCCTTACGCCCTTAACCAAGTACGGTATACTCCTCATTATCGTGCGATCCCTGATGTTACATGCCCCGGCAAGTCCCCAGACCCTGCACTCACTTTAACGGTCCAACTATGAATAGGATTTCAAAAGTGGGAAGAAAGCCCGAGCTAGGGGAAACGGCACGTTGAATTGACCCAGATTTTACCGTGCTTGGCAATTCACCGACGATCAAGAAACGTACTTCACTCCCTGCAGACTGGCATGTCTCTACGCCTTAAGAGAATCCATGTAGCGAGACAGGCAAGCCTGGGCGAATGCCAAATTCTTCTGCGCCCCTTAGTTTTTTCTTTCAATCCTTTTGGGCACGTGGTTCTCTTTTTGGTTTTCCCCACGAACATCCAACTTCTTAAAACCAACATTGCCTCTCTCCCCAGACTCCAGAAAGGGGAATGTGATATCAACGGAAACAATGGCGAACGAAGAGTTATGGGGGGAGTTTGCCGTCGGCGCCCTTTTTATCTGCCTGCGATTCTTCGCCCGGATCAAGGTCGTGGGGGTGACTAATCTCCAGCTCGAGGATCTGTTCATGCTCATCGCCCTGCTGGCGTACACGGCCGTCACAATCATGATCCATCTCATCACAGTCTATGGAGCCACCATCGGACAGACGTCCGAGTCGGTCTACCTTCTCCCCAAGGAAATGGTCGCCAGCTTCGTCATTGGGCAGAAGCTCACATTTGCAGACTGGCTGGTTTACCTGATCTACATCTGGTCTCTGAAGGCGACACTGCTGGTCATGTTTTCCAGGTTGACAAAGGGACTTCGCTTTGAAGAGAGGATTTTGAAGTGTGTCATTGGGTATACGGCTGTGGCCTTTGTCGGAGCTGCACTCTCGCACATTTGCGTCTGTCTCCCAGTTCATAAGTCGTGGCAAGTAGTGCCATATCCCGGAGGTATGTCAACTCTTCATCTTGGTCCGATGTCAGTTTAAGATGGTGGAATGGCTAACCAATTCTTTCAACAGATGCTTGCGCCCTGCGAAACTTGAACTATTACCTGGTCAGCTTCTTCAATGCCAGTTCCGACCTGTGCATCATCGCCATTCCGGTGCCCATCATTTTCAAAGCCAAGATCCCCGTGTGGCGACGAGCACTCCTCACGGTGCTCCTCTGCTCCGGTATCTTCGTCGTCGTGGCCACCATCCTCCGGTCGTACTACTCCCTCAAATCCATCACCACCCTCCCCGTCGCCGCAGGCTGGACCTCGCGCGAAACCTTTGTCGCCGCCGTCGCCGTCAGCATACCGGGCATCAAGCCACTCTTCAGCCGGTCTAAATGGTTCAAATTTCGGTCCACGGGCGAGGGTGGAAACTACCAAAGCGGGGGCAAGGGAAGCTCTCACGAGCTCCGGACGATTGGAGGTAGTCTTCAGACGCCGGGATTCATGTCGCGAAGCCAGGATAAAAGCGGTTGGAGGGTTGACGGGAAAGATCACCGGGGTACGAGGCTGTCTTCAGATGTTGGTAGCGAGGAGATTATCTTCTCTGGGCCGCGAGATCAGAGTACGTCGTCGGTTCGTGCACCAGCACCGGCGTGATGGCGCTTTTTGTAGGAATATATAAGGTGATGATTGATAACGAGGCACGTTGTGCGATTCAGCCTAGGGTTGTGGCGAGGATTAATACGATACGTTTTTATCATACACTTTTCGGTTGATATTCTTTGTTCTGTTGCGCATCTACGATTTAATTTAGCAATGGAATACTATTCAATCTCATAAGTTTGACCAGTAGCAACCCATCGAATCTCTTACTACATGACCATCCCTTCACCGGAGCAGGAGTAATGTCAAGTTCATTTTCATTATTGGTCAATACAGAGATATACTGCCAGTTCTTACCAGCTGTCTTCTCCTCGTCTGTACGAGCTGGGTTCCCAGCCTACAAGATCTTACTCTTGATAATATTAAGTTCTCAATGAGCTCTTTATGTCTTGATACAGCGGCCTTATGCCCGTCCGACCCCTGGAGTCTCTCTCTCTCACGAAGGAATACTCTCTTCTTACCTACCCTACAGCTTCCACCTTCTTTGACCTCTTGTCGGAGTGAGGACTCTCATTCTCCCCATCGAACCCTCGCTAGCACTCTTCCTTTCTAGTTTAATATCCGTAAGATAGCTACATAGTCCTATAGAGGCGCCCTTTTCCTTCATAATCTCACGGCTTTAAACGCTTGATAACCATAACAACAACATCTTCACAGGGGCAAGTGATGTCTCTAAAGCTGTGGGGTTTGATTACTTAGAACTATGATCTACCTCTTTCAATCTTCCTTGTATAAGGGTACTCCTATTTCCAATTAAATAACTAACTCGATGAGTATTAATAAATTATCAGTTTAATCAATGACTCTGCCAATCCGGGACTCCGGCAGCCACGATCACAAGGCCGTATCATTCTCCGAGGCAGCGAATCAAGGAGCAAGGCGTGATCGCGGGGCCCCACCGAGATTATCAAGCTGACAAGGATGACAGAGGAGATGGATGCCCGTTCACTCTTGTAACAACTAGACGAAGCAGTCTCGGACAAGTCACGGTCATAAATCTTTCCGCTATACCGGGGACAAGTTCACAGAAACGTTGACTACGGTCTAAGCCATGTACCATTCTAGACATGTCTTGGGCCGTAGGCAGGGGGCCCTGGAGCATCACTCCCCCGAGACGATTGGACAACATGTGGTCAGTCTAAGAGCCCAAACAGACTTGGTAGGCTGGTTCTAGGTTGCCCTAAAGCCAGCTTGTCCATATATAAATCTGCTTGCTTCTCTCCTCTCTTCATCTCTCTTCCAGCCTTACCTCCATGCCCGCGTCGTACACCATCCTCAGACATTATAATGGCAACCAAGACGAATGCTTCCAACAAGGCCCAGCAGGCCGTCTCTTGGTCGCGGTCCTGTGTGCTGCGCTCTCAGAGGCTATTCCATCAGAGCCTGACAAACCACGGCCTACCATATCTACGTCGCCAGAAACCCGACTTCTGGACCGCTCGTCAACCCACCAAGATCTTTGAGTATCCGCAGCATCCAGGTCTGGGCATCCGGCTATTCAAGCCAGAGGGTTGCACCGACAAGCCGGCGCCCCCAAATGGATGGCCCATCGTCTTCATGATCCATGGCGGCGGCTGGACCATTGGCAATGCCGAGATGGACGATGAGCAGGCGCACATACTGTCCACAAAGTATGGATTCTGCGTCATGGGGCTCGAATATGGCCTCTCGCCCGCTCGTCGGTTCCCGGGTCCTATTCAAGACTTGGCCGGACTGATTGAATGCGCCATCGGAGACACAAAACTCGTCAGCGAGTTCAACCTTGACACCTCCAAGGTCTCCCTCGTCGGCTTCTCCTGCGGCGGAAGCCTGGCTCTTTCCCTGGCGCAGCTTCCTGCGCTGCAGAAGAAAATCCACGCCATCGTTGCTTTCTACCCGCTCGTCGACTTCGTAGGATTATTTCACGAAGACGGCCCTGCCAGGAAGACGCCTTGGGGGAAGGCTGATCCTCTGCCTTCGGTGCTGCCCATGTACACATGGTCCTACGTTCCTGTTGGGCAGGACCTTGAGGATCCGCTGCTGAGCCCATGGTACGCTGCTCGCGAAGCCATCCCACAGCCCCTGTTCATCATCACAGCCGATGACTGCCTGCGTGAGGAGGGCTGCATGTTTGCCCGCAAGGCAGCTGGGCTGGATCTCAACGTCAACCCCCATGAGGTTTCCACGGAGTCATGGGAGGTGGAGAGCGTGCGGTATGAATTTGTCCCGGGTATGCCTCACTGCTTCCCACACTTTTGGGAGGAGATTAAGGGAAGCGATGAGTGGGAGAAGAAGAGGCTTGACATCAACAAGCGCATCTGGTCAGAGGTGGCTGCATGGCTCAAGGCTAAACTGGAACTCTAGACTGTAAAGGTTATGTAGAACGCTGCCATTGACGGGAGTTATAGTAGCCTATGGAGGAGTCTTAGCTTTTGAGACCTTAAGTAGATAGAGAATACGAGGCTACTCTTGTTCCAGATACGGACTGGTATATTCGTAATACTATTATGGTCTCTCTTATCCCTTCTATAATATATTCTTTGCAGATTTCACCGATATTAGGTGCATGGTGTCGAGTCTTGTGTTGTGCATCGCCATCCATTTTATGCTATGTTCCATCAAGCTTAAACATCATGCCGTCGGCATCATCATGAGAAAAGGCATTGTTCTTGGTGGAAGAGCGGGAGGGGCTAACTAGCTCCTGGATCCGTTATCACTTCCTTTTTTCACGTCACGGTCTCAGAAATAAACTTATATCGAATCAGCGCGTTTATAACTCTCCAACTTGCGACTCAGCATCATCGTCTTCCGCCCTTTGGGGTCCCTTCTGCCCCTTCCTTCCCTTCTTTCGCTGTTTTCGCTCCTCTTGTTCCTTGGCCTCAAATTCCCTTGACCCAACTCCATGGCGTCGATTAGTCTTCGCATCCCAATTTCCGCCTTCACGCAACCTCAGCTCCAGGAATACTTGATCACGAATGGCTCGCAATGTGTCCCTTGAGTAGCCCCCTTCCATCCAGGTAAACTCAAGGCCGCGTTTCTGCGCCTGCGCATTAACAAATTCATGGAACTCGTGATGAACTAAGTCCGTAACATCGTCTTTCATTATGAGCGCCATCCTCTTGACCTTTTGGGCATCTTTACTATCATCCAAGGCCTTCAACTCATCAAAGAGCTCCTCAATGGCGACCCGCGCCTTTGCAACTGTGTCATCGCGCACACACTGTAGATGCAGTACACGGACATCCGACTCGACCGACACGCAGACGACTATGTCGCGGTCGCGCACAGTGATGTTGAGTTTCTTCTTTCGACCTCGGTCATCTTGAATTAAGGTGTGTATAAGGCACGCAAACGGACCGAAATCGTTGTCTTGATGGCAAGGGTTGATGTGTGGGCTTTCGGTTGCCATATTGAAATCGGTGAGTTGACGGTAGAAAGTAGAAATTCTCCTCTCGGTCAGCACTGATCCAATAAATATACTGGCAGAGGAGTTGACCCCGTTCTACATACACACCAACTGGTGTTGGGAAAGCCTCGCTCAAAATGGCAAAATGTAACAAAGGAGGAGTTTGGTCTGGTTGATTGATGGTAATCAAGGAACTTGAGTTCTTTGTATGACACGCTAATGCAGTAACCATAGCCCCTCACCCCACCTTACCCATCTTATTGCGCCTCACTTGTTGCCCACAGCGAGGAATGTATGATTTTCCCTAAACGAGGGAAAGAGTCCGGTTAATTCGGTTTGTCTAGCGGAAGCTCGTAATGGTAGAGAGGCCAGAAGATGCTTTGAGAATCTTTGCTCTGTTTATAGACGCTTGTTCTCTTTTCAGCCTGAGAGCTCTCTCCCTGCTCTGTTTCATTCTCCTTTATGTTTTCCGAGACATTGTTCTCATACGTGGCTTCCTTCACCACGTTCTTCACCTCGTCTTTCCACTCAATAATCTCCTGCACCTTCTCCTCGGTCTTTGTCTCAATCTTCTTCTTGGTGTTGTTGAGCTTCTTCTCGCTCTTCTCTTAGCTCCCGTTCTCGGATTGTTACTCAGGCTGTGGAATTCCGTCATTTGGCCCTTCTATTCCCGCCCTTTCAAAGTCGCTATAAAGATATCCGTCAGGAATCGTCCACCACAGTATTTCATACTACAATACCCAATTTAACAGATAATTAGCAAATAAATGATCCTTCCATACGTCTACGGAAGGCAGATACCCTACACTCTCTAGGCCGGCCATGTTCCGTCCTTAATTTGTGAGATCTGGCTAAATTTTATATCGGACTTTAGGTGGAGCTTACTCAATAATAAGACGGAATTAGCCGGCATGTGTTGTTGTTGTGTTGTTATTGTTGTTTAATGTCGGTAGATCGCTCGATGGGGCAAAGCATGTCTCCATACAGCTACCTATTTTAAACTACCTAGATACATAGATAGAGAAGATTGGTTTGAGTTTCATGCGCGGAAGAGGCGTAGGCATCCTCTCCTCTCTTGGTAAGGTGTATGTGCCCAGTCAGAAGAACCTATAATTTTTTTTTGAGGTTTATTACACGCCTTCTTCGAAGCTAGGCTGTATGCGAGATGCAGGAGGCCCAGGGCCGCACGTTTTCGTTTCTTTTATTGTATTTCACGGATGATAAACTAGACCTGTTTCAAAACCGAAGTCTGAAGACGGCAAAATCATTATTCCGAGAGTGGCATATACAAGTGTCGGCTCTAGGATGAGTTGTAATATCACAACGATGATACTAGTCATTATACCACGATGTTTTTTCATCTTGTCATCATTCTTCGTATCAAACAAGAAAAAAGGCCAGATAACACAAATATGCGGAAGCTAATTCGGAGTGTCTCTTCCGCGTATTCGAAATTCGCGTTATGGACGCGTGATGGGCAAACCTTCTTTTTAACTTGCAGTTTGGGTGATCTCCTAACAAATAATATATCTCGAATCGAGCCAATCAATAATCAAATTCGGCACGAATCCGTGTTTACGAGAAAAATTGACGTACACCTGGGAGAAAGTCTATAAGCAGCCAAATTTCCTCTGTGGTTTTCCACCCTATTTTCCACTTGTCACGCAAGATCCGACAAGATGCATTTCTCCTCCAGTATTCTAACGCTTTCGATCATTCTTGCGCCCGTTTACGCGGCATGGCGTCACATTGATCCCGTCAAACGCGAGATGGTAGTCATCCCTCACGATGATGCTCACGTCCAGTTCATCGGCGTCGAGTACCAGCTTGCTACGATGAACCTCAGCAGTTTCTACAACTACCCCCATACAGCAAATCGCACAGAATGGGAGGTCATGCATAAATCGCTCGAAGTGAGTTGGGCGTGGTTCTTCACTCACGGCGAATAATCAAGGCTGATTCTTGCATCCTGTATCGTAGAAGGACGACACGATCAAGGAGGCGGCCAAGGCAAACATCTTCCGCGTTCCTTTTAATTTCGACCAGCTCTTTATTGAGGACTCAGACACTCCTGTCAACGAAACGGAGTTGGACAACCTGCAGTCGGTCGTGGACAAAATCGTTGAAAAGAACACACACACACACACGACTGAAAAGGACCCGGTAGAAGTGGTCAAAGAGGCTAACAACAAGCCGGTTAGCAAACCCGGTCCCTCCCCATATGTGGTCATTGTGCCCGAGGTAGTCGAGGGGAAGCGACGCCTCAGAGACGCCGATAAATTATACCAGTTCTGGAGGACGATAGCCAAGAGGTTCCTGGATAATAACCATGTCGTCTTCGATCTCGGTCTCCCGGCCACGCCCGACAAAGCGATCGCGGCGGACATGGCCCAGGAAGCAATCAGAGCGATCCGGAGAGCCGGGGCTCGGAGGCAGTACATCTTCCTGCCCACAGACATGAAGACTCTGAGCGATCCGCTTCGTTTCAGGATCCAGGATCCCTCACATCGGACACTCTACGAAGTCGACATCAATGTAAAGTGCGGGAATCTTCATACACCATACAGGGGGCCCCATCGGAGGGTCAAAAAGAAAAAGGAAAGGGCTCCGGCGCTGATCAGACCTTTGAATAAATGGATTGGGAAGACAAAGTTTCGGGCAATTGTCAGGCGGGTGCAAACAAACCAAGACTGCCCATTGGAGGTCGACAAGCTCTTCAAAAGAATGAAGAAGAGGCCGGACTTCTGGGCCGGATTCCTGTGGATAGAAAACAGTAAGGATAAATATGGTACCCCTAAAGCGAAGGACTAAGCGGATGGTCATAAATAGGCTGAGATGACTTCCAAGGATCAATTGTATCATAGGCCTTCATTTCTTTGCTTATCCTCCCAAAGGTAGTCGTGCTCATACTCACCTTGCTCGAATGTTCCTCACTTCGGTTGTTGCTTGGTCTGGAAACGAGGTAAGGCGACGAATCACGTGAGATAAGATAAGGTACAACGATAAGTGACAATAAACTTGAACACCACGTTCTAGAACGGCGTCGGGCAATCCACTCACTGGCGAGTCAGGCGTTCAGGGAATGACAATAAACCCAGGCATGCTACTTGCCGACCAGGCCTAGCAATTCCTACCAGGAGCCGTTTGTTTGGTCCCTGTTGGAAGAGTTAACAGAGTCGTGTTCACCGAGCTCTGTCCCCTCGCCCCACCCCGCTGCAGAAGACCCTTGGCCAACACCCTCCACTGCCTCCACCGTCCGCCCAGGCGCTGAAGTTAGTACGTACTGCTCAGTGGACGCTGCAGTTTGAGATCACAACCTGTCCTTTCGTAATCCGCCAATCCAACCTGGAGAAGAACACCCCATCATCGCCCATTCCGCCTCGCTCCTGGGCTGATTCCTCTACCGTCGCCCATCTCCTGTTCGCTTGAGGAATCACTCTACCCCTTTGCACACGAAGAATCGCTGCGCCCCCCTTGCAATATCGATATCCGCGCAGCACCTGGTTGGAGGGAAAAAACACCCCATCAGAAATCACCTACCTCCGTCAGATCACAACATCCCGCTTGGGCCCTCTCCTCAGAGTCGCTACTCCACCCTCTAATTCTCCGTTGCATCGCATCGACACACGCTCCCCCGACTACATGCAGCCTACCACCGTCTAGCGACACATCCATCCATCCACCGGTTCTTCTCGCATCCGCCCACGGTCGTCTTTGATGTCCAGCGCAAAGGCCTCTGGCTCCAACGCCGGCGATGGCTCCTCCACACGGCACCGCGAGCACAGGCAGGGCAACCAGGACCGCAAGTTCACCGTAGACCAGGAGGCGGCCGTCATCCGCATCCGCCGCTGCGGCGCCACAGACTTCTACGACATCCTCGGCCTCGAGTCGGTCCGGACGACGTGCACCGAGACCGAGATCAAGAAGGCGTACCGGAAACAGTCGCTCCTCACCCACCCGGACAAGAATGGCCACCAGCACGCCGACGAGGCCTTCAAGATGGTCAGCCGCGCGTTCGGCATTTTGGGGGACAAGGAGAAGCGTGAGAAGTACGACAAGTTTGGCGGCGACCCCGACAGTCGCTTCCAGAGTGCACAGGCGCAGAACCCCTTCTCCGGGTTCCGCCAGGCTGGCGGCGGTAGGCCAGCCGGCGGCATGTACGAGGAGGAGTTGACGCCGGAGGAGATGTTTGCACGGTTCTTTGGCGGAGGCTTTGGGGGCGGTGGTTTTGGAGGTGGCGGTTTTGGCGGAGGCGGCTTTGGAGGTGAGAGATTGATTATTCCCCGAGCAGTTGCATCTCCGCCGATTGCAGCATGAACTAACTCACACGATGCTTTACAGGACCCGAATTCGTATTCAATTTCGGCGGCGGCCCAGGCATTCGCGTCCATCAGTTTGGCGGTGCTCGGCCGCAAACACGACCCCGCAACGCTCGAGGCAACGGCCAGCCACAGCAGCAACAGAACCCCTTACAAAACCTCATCGGCCTCCTCCCCATCATCCTCTTCTTCGTTGTGCCCATGCTCTCGTCCCTGTTCTCGTTCGGACCCTCGACCCCGTCAACACCACGCATGGTGTTCGAAGAACCCACGACCCCCTACACATACGGCCGAGTTACACCGAATTTCAAGATCAACTACTTCGTAAACGAGGGTGACATCAAGGGTTACACCGCGGCCCAGTTTTCACGGCTCGACGTAATAGCGGAGGAGACTCGGTTCCGCGAGCTCGGACACCAGTGCGAGCGCGAGCTCATGGTTAAGCGCAGAAAGCAGGAGGCTGCCCAGGGCTGGTTCTACCAGGACGTGGAGGAGATGGCCAAGGCGAACGCCTTGCCGACAAAAGCATGTGATATGATCAACCAGCTGAAGCGGCCAAGAAAGTACGATTAACGGGAGCCGAAAGGGACTGTGTGAGACTTGTGCCGCGCGTGGGTTCTGGATGTCAAATGTCTATACTATTTGGAAGAGGGAGTCGGGAATCATGGGAATGGGCGTTCAATCTGTTTCTATCTGTACATGAAGTCGCTTGCGGAACAGGGCTGGCACAGGCATCGAGGCAAGCGAGGCGAGGATGGAGAGAGTCAACGACACCGAGGCAGATAGACATAGCGGACATGTCGGCATATTATTAAATCATTAATGTTACTTGGCAATTGTCATAACCTCGTTCCCTACTATGATGAGCACAGAAGCGGTTCTATCCATCTGCACTGCCAACCCTCCCATCGAGAGCATAGCAGGTACATGGATCACCACAGCTGCACACTCGCCGCCGGATCAAACCCATGCGGCTTCCTCTCCACCTTGCCCTCCAGCTGCTCCCTCTCCCTCTTCTCGTCCGTGCTGTTGGGGAGCACGTACCCCCTCTGGTTCGCATACACCCTGATCCCCCGCCGCACAAAGTCGACCGAGTAGTGCGTGTGCCCAAACACCCACGCCCTCACCCCAGGCCACCTCTCCGACCACGACCACGAACCCCCTTCCACCAGCTCGGTCGAGTACGCGTCGAACCACGGGCTCCCCGTCTTGTGCGGGTTCGCGACCCCCTTCCTCGACGGCGCGTGGTGCGTCACCACCAGAACCTGCCGCTTCTCCCCCTCCTCCCCCGCTACCCGCTCGACCTCCCCGCGCAGCCAGGCCGCCTCCTCGAGGTGCGTGTCGTGGTGCCGCTGCGCCGTCCAGTCCCTTATATGCTTGAAGTCGCTGACGGCCAGCTGCACCAGCTCGCGCGAGTCGTCCGGCAGCGCGGACCAAAGCGTGCACCCGAGGATGGTGAAGTTCTTCAGCTTCTCATCCTCGCCGTCGTAGTCCCACCGGCGGCGGTGCAGGAGGACCACCTTCCCCTCGAGGGTAGGCTCGCGCTCGAGTTTTTGGGCTGCCTCGATGGTCTCCTCGTAGCTCCCCTTGTAGAATTCGTGGTTGCCCAGGACGAGGAAGACGCGCTCGAAGCGGGTCACCTGGGCCTCCAGGAAGGCGAGGTAGCCATCGTAGTGGCTCAGGTAGCCGGTGTCGCCGGCGAGGACGAGGAAGGGCGCGGTGGCGGGGAAGGTGAAGGTTCGGTACTGCTCGCCGACTTCGAGGTGGATGTCGGAGAGGATCTGTAATCGGGGTCCTGTGGGTGGTTGTTGGAGGAGGGATGTCAGCCGGCGGGTCGCGCCTTGGAGGAAGTCCATTGAGCGTGATGGGCGGGAGATCTGCGCTATCTGGTAGGTAGTGGGGTGGAAGCCAATTCAATCGACAAAATCAAGGGAAGAAGACCAGTTTATCACGTTTATTTTGTTTAGCAAGGACCAAGCCGATGCTTTTCTACTGGGTCCTCTAGTTCTTAATGTAGGACTTCTCCCACGGCTTAGGCCTGAGACGGCTGATGGACCCAAGATACATATGGAGTAGATCGTTCAGCTTCGACTCAGCCTGTCCAACTCAGCCTTCGTTAGTGCGCCCCGTGCTCATGGCCAATCATTGAGCATAGCAGTACAAACCACATGCTAGATAGCTACAGGTAGTCCTATGCCATACAGCACAGGCTGAAGGCTGACCCTCCTGTCGTAGATGGCGGGATGCAATGCTGACATTCTCGGCACTTCTCTTCCTCGCCCATTACCAAACACCCGGAATGACAGCCCACTTCTTCGCAACCTTCTCCTCGCCAAACTTCTCAGCATACCACCTCTTCCCACTAACAGCCCTAGGCAACATAGTCGTAAACTCGTTGATCAGAAAAGTAAGCGCAGGCACGCACCCCCAGCCGCAGGCCATCCAGAAGCCGAACCACTCAACCCACTCGCAAAAGTAGTGCGGGAACAGCATGTACTTGAACAGCCCCGCCTGGGGGATGCGGTAGTGCTTCGCCGCCGCGTTGCCCTTGCGGCTTTCCTTCCTGCGGATCTCGCGCAGCTCCTCGTCGTGGAAGTAGTTGCCCGCCAGCCCCAGGTAGAAGACGGTCACCCCGGCGACGAACTGCGGGGTGGGCACGGCCTGCTCCCACGCCGCGGCGGTCGTGGGCCCGTAGGCGGCCAGCCAACCCCCCAGGCTGGCGCCGTTGAGCAGCTGGAAGAGGAGGGCGGTCTGCCAGACGAAGAGGTGCATGGGCGAGATGGACGGCTGCAGGAACGGGTAGGCCACGGCTCTGTAGAGGTAGTGGATGACCTGTTGGAGGGTGTGGTGGGGTTCTGGTCAGCGGGAATGGTGCACGTCATACAGGTTGGATTTGGGGGCGGGATGGACGTACGAACAGCCCGGCGAGCACCTTGTTCTGCCAGGGGAGGTCCTCGATGCCGTGGATGGCTGGCAGGGTCCGCATCATGTAGAGGAGGGTGAGGAATCCGGGCACTTCCATGGTGAACCAGCCCAGACGGCCGGGCAGGTTCAGGCGGCTGGTGACGGATGTTTTGCCCATGGGGTAGAACGTGGTGACAAACTGCGCCGCACCAAGCTACAATGCGATAGAGGCATCAGTTAAAGCTGCATGTCTTAGAGAAGCAGGCATCGTTACACAAGGTATGTAGACAATTGGCTGTTTGGCCAGTTGGGGCTTTGGAGGGAACTCACAATAGGGTATGTCCACTGGAAGATGGTGAGCAGGAACCTCCAGTTCTCCCTCGTCACTGGAGGGTACCATTCCCGCAGCGTAGCGATATTGAGTCCCAAAACCGAAGACATGGTGGCCAGCTTGGGGGACGAGACGACAGGAGAGGAGGCAAGGCAATTCGAGGGTGCAGGAGGAAGAGGGCAATGACAAGCAGATGCCCGCTAGAAGTTGTCTATCCCAATTGCCGAGTCTCCACTCTTCACCGCTGTAAGACAGAG